TTATTACTATTATTGTTGTTTATAATTGTTGTTTATAATTTTTACAATTAACCTCCCTGTGGTTCGACCCCGGTCTTGCCGGGTTATTTATTACTTCGACACTCCTACACTTGGGAGAAGACATCAACTTTTGGTCGTGTCACTGTCACTTTTGATTAGTTCTCTAGTCAAATAACTTCCCTTATATCATTATGGTTACAATTATTACTAGAAATGTAATTATCACCCATATCTAAATTTTATTCTCATTCAAATAGATTCCACGTATGCATATAAATATGTTTATTTTCTCTATGTTCATGTTTATTCTTTTAGTTTTCACATTAAAATTATTCTTTACAATAATTTCAAACAACATTGAAAATTAATAAAATCTTGGCCTAATTATTCTATTTAACCCCCGAACATTGTTTGGTATATATATATATATGACTGAATAATTACAATAGTGAGATTTTTGAAAAATTTCAATTTAGTTATAGAATTTTTCTTTTGCATAGTTAGGCTCTTTAGAGCTTAAATTGGAGCCTAATTGCATGTTTTTTTTTTTTGGGAGTAAAGATTGAATTAAAAGATACAGGGTTCAAGTGAAAAATATAAGTAATATAAGTGACGACTTTGCAATTTGTTTGAAAAATTCATTTTAGTCCTTGATCTATTAGGTAACCAACCCTTATAATTTCTAAATATTATATTTTTGTACCATACTTTATTTTTCTCTTTATAGTCCTTTTACAGTAGAGAAGAGTGAAGTGGTTACGAGATTCTGCCTTTGAGAAAGAAAGTTACTAGTAACGATTCTGATTACTAAAACAATTAATTTTTATGTTAAATGATTTCATATGATAAAAAGAGTTAAGATTAAGTATTTTCTTACTTTAAAAACACATAAAATAAATATATACTAATGGACTTGCAGGCCCGTGTGTAAACCTTTTTTTTATGGGCTAGGCGCTTGGCCTGGCTTACCTGGCTTACAACGCTTGGTCTCATTCTTTTTTTTTTTAAATTATTATTTTTTTATGCATTTTTAAAACTAATTTTGGCTTTTATGTTTTGATTAATAATATCTTTTTTTTTAATGATTTGTTTTATTTTATTTAGCCTTATTGAAATAAAATTATTATTTTTTATTATATTGAGTGTTTTTTTTCAAGTAGAGTAATTCATTTATAATGAAGATTGTATTTTAATCAGTGTCATCGGATTTTATCATTTAATTGTTTTCATTTTTTTATATATTATTTTTCAAAAAATTTGAGCACAAATATATTAATAGAAGATAGTTGAACACATTAGTCTAGAAACGAATTAAAAATCATATAAGTTGGAATTTTGAGCTAAAAAATATACAGCTCTGTTTTGCTTGA